AGAAAGTTGATAGCCGCATGGGCTATGCTGGAATCTAACGAGAGTGTTGTTTCTTTTGGTAGTGTAATTTGGCTTTCTCTTTTATTCCTTCACATATTGCTCAAACAGAGATGGAGAAAATTTGGTCTGGACGAAACAGAGCTATGCCATTTAGAGTTTTTGGTGCTCTGTCAAGCCCTTCAGTCACCCATTTATCAGTGCAATCGATAAACGGCATGATGAATAGAGCTGGCACCTAGGCTTTGGCTAAGATATGTCAATGAATAACAGTTAGGTCGAAACCGCTCTGATTTTCCCCACAGTAGCATTAAAACCACGTAATTAAAGTCGACGTGTCCCTCAATGCATTCATTTTACAGCCCACCGGTAATTCACCACATCCTGCATCAAAAGCATTTAGCGTAAGTGGGAATAGCGGATTACAAAGTAATTTCGGTGGTGTTAACTTTAAATGATTTGGATATATTACACGACAAATTAGAGCACTTAATGAATCAGCCTCATTTCTTGCCACTGAAAGGAAAATGATGTGCCAAATGACATTGGACAGCGGATCGTTGGCCCAGAGTTTAACTTCAAAATAATTAGCTGGATGCAAGCTTTTCTTAAAACCTGATGGCAGGGTATTCACGCAACACTGTTGGGGGCATATCGCGCATAATCGGTCCTGATGTTAAAGGTCTGGGCATGCCATTAATCCTTCAAGCTAAGAGAAGCAAAGGATATGATACCAGCAGACGCATATCAAGGTTCCTGCCACTTTTCAATCTGTGCATTAAAATTTTGAGGAGAAGGAGTGGTAGGTCACATAAAGTGCCAATTAAAATAGCTAGACTTCCACTGGTCAGTCTACATCCTTTAGTAATGAGGGTTGCGGAACATATCATTCAACTGATTATGTACAAAACAAAGGAGGCAAATAATGTAACCCTGCTCTATACTTGTTTCATGCATATTATTTTTGCAATTTGTAAGCATATTATGCTAGTTTTACATTGCATTACCAAATACAATACAATATGTACTTAAAATTCTGACTTCATCATAAAATGATTGGAAAACATGCACTATATATTGTGCAGTGACTTGATTGCATATCTACACGCGTGCGATGCATTGTTAGGACAATAGTCATTCCCATCATGCATCGGATAGGCACAACTCTGCACAGAATGCAGAGTCAATCTGCACTCGGCTTCTTATCTGCTCAAGTCTGAAGGAGTTCCATCATTGGCTGCGTGTGTGATTGCGTGATGAAGGGCGCTTTGTGCACCCACAGGCCTAGTGGCTAGTTGACTGAGTCCCCAGATGGTTAACGGTTTTGTGGTAAGTAGATTTTCTCATTTACGGGTATTAATAGTGTTTGACCGTGATATTTGAGTGGTTTTCTGTACACCCAGAACATTCCTCTGCTTCATGCGAGCCAATGAGGAGGGACGAATCCGAAGCATGAGTCCTTAAAATGCCAGAGGATGAGCATTTGAGCGAAAATGATAAGGAAATTGCTAAAATCGAAATTTGACTGCTTGTAAATTGGAAAAATGTGAAACTGATAAATAGGCACATTTCCGACTGCTTAGGTTGGAGGCACCTCTAACGTCCATCTTCCCTTACCCATAGTTTTTTCATTCTTCCGAAGTATACCAAAAATTAAAGATCAACATACCTCAAACGTCTGACACTTAAGGCTTTGCAAATCCCCCACAGTGTAAGGGCAAATATGTAGACCTTGCCACACTATTTGTTAAGTAGATCGATTTACTGAAATACATGGAGTGTAAAATGGAAGTAGACCATAATATCCAGTGTTTGATATACGCAGGACATGTTCACCACAAAGGAAGAAGTAATGCTTCATTGGGAAAAATTTATAGTTAGATAAGTAGGTTGATGAGAGGAAGCTATATTAAGTATGAATAAAAGGAGGGTCAACTGGAGAGAAAAATGTGTGGATGTCATCGTTTGGAAAGGCAAGGAGAGCGAGAGGAGAAAGACAGAAGAATCACGGTGTTTGGACCAAGAAGGAAGAAAAAGGAGGTGTAACTTAAAGATGCCGTGGATAAGTAGCTACGTGAATGCTTGAATGAATAAATGACCATATCTAATCAGTTTACTTGTTTGAAAGGAAAGAATACCATAGTGAAAGTGATTAATGCCGACATCATTGCGAAATTACACGAATAACCGCTCTTGGTGAAAAGCACTAATACGTACTTCCCACACTAATGGAGTTTTACACAGATTTAAGTGTTGAGCTTATTGAATCCTTATGCTTCAATGGCCTCAAAAGAAATAGGATAATTTTTAAAGGAAAAAATGTGTGCACTGGAAATGTCAGTTTGCCGGAAAATGTTTTGTACCGCTTTTTTAATTTTCTGATTCTTTTGAGTTCCAGCGTTCTAGTTTTAAATCTGCAATTTTCCGGAAATTTT